AGGACAGGGACCATTTCTCCTACTCAACAATTCTCAGAGGCAGAAGGGACCTCAGGGACCCATGAGTCCAAAATACCCCTAACGTAGTTCACCAGGAGAGGCACCTAAGAAGTTGTCACAACCTCAGACGTTTGGCTGCCACCCAGAACTCACTCGGGAAATTGGGGCAGGAAGTCTGGGCATTTGTATTCTTAACAAGCCCCCAGATGCCAAGTTTGGGAACTACTCATCCAGTCCTGTACCTCATCTAGTCACAGGGAAATGGAGGCTCAGAAAAGTCCCTTGCCATCCATAGCCCCAGGTGGCTAGAGGCTGAGCAAGGATCAGAAACCCGGTCTCTGGATTCTAATCTAGTCCTCTTCCATCAAGCTAGATGGCGTGGATGCCATCTCTTCAACCCCTAGCCTCTGGCACAAATCCTTGCTCCAGCATGCACGATGAACAGTCCAACAGCTTAAGTATCCCCCATGCAGAGGAATTCAGCATGTGACAAGGACACTCAATCCAGTAGTTTTTATTCAACCAAAATATCGAACAAGAAAAACCCTTAGCCTGGCATACGAGATCCTCTGTAACTTGCTCCCTTGCTGGCCTCTCTAGTCTTATTTTCCTCAGGACCTTACTTGTACCCTAACCCTCAACCAGACTGTGGACAGTTATCCTGGGGGGTGTCACTTCCACAACGTCTGGCCTACCAGAAGCTCAAGGGGTAGTGGATACAGAAAGACAAATTAAGCCTGGAGGTGTGTTCACTCACTGGACCCACACCGCCCGCAGAGTTCCAGAACTCAGGAAAGCCTCTACTTTGCCTGCACAAATGAATCAAGCATCATACCTGTGTCCTTAGAGCCAAACTGAAGTCTACTTTTGAAATGGAGTTTCTGGTACCAGAATGCATTGTGCAAAACTGCTGGAAGCCACCAAAGTCACCAGAGATCTTCCATCTCACCTACCAGCACTCAGTTCCCACCCTCCCCAACTCATCCCCACTTGTACCCCAGGAGGACTGGGCTCACTTCACCCCACAGCTGCTACTTGTTCCCACCTCCCTGCATTCTCTTCTAGCTTTCACCACCCTAGATCAGAAAACCCTGCTCCTGTGCATCCAGATCAGATTGTCCACTAGTGATCTTCCCTCATAAGCCTTCCAAGACCCAGTCAACCTGCAGATTCTCTTGCCTCTGGATTGCTATCATGTAATCACGGTGAGGAACGAGGCCATGAGACTGCGGTGAGTTGTTTAACCCCCTAAGCTTTGAGGGACGAGATATAGTTCATTCATCTCTCCAAGTCCCCCACAGGGACCAGGGTGCACAGCAGCTCAGTCAACAGGAAATTGTTGGCCATCTACCACTTCAATTATCCCATGGCAATGGGTACCTTGTTGAGCACACATTGGGTATACGAATGAGTCTTGCTCACCTTTAATCTTAACATACCCTACAGACAACAGCTGCTCAATTAGTATTTGATTGAACAAAGGCACAGGGATAAAGACTCTGGAGTCAGACAATTGTGCCGTACTCTCAGCCCCACCACTCACAGAAGTTCTTAACTGCTCTAAACTCTATGTGGGTCCGGTGAGATCTGTCTTAGGATTATTGTGCAGACTAAAGGAGATAATTGTTTATACAGAATTTAGAACGGTACTTGCCTTGGCTCCAAGAGTATGACCTATTAAGATGCTGTCTTTAAGAACCCAAAATAACTTGTCAGGGAACAAAGGAAGAGCAGAGCATTGCTGAAACGGCTTGGGCACATGCAGCTAACTATAAATGCAACTTGGGTGCAGTGGTAAGGCAAGAGGCCAAGAAGCACCCCAGTATTCATGGAGACTGTAAAACCACCCCCTTCAGAATCACCTCTAGCTTCTTTTTGCCACTCTTCAAAGATCCCTGCTTCCCCTCATGAATCCACAGCCTCCCGCCAGTGCCAAAGGAAAGGAAGGTGCTCTCTCTACCTGTTGACTCAGCTTAGTAAAGTCAACTTTGCATTTTTACAAAGGCTTTTTCAAAAACTGTTGACAGCGGAGCATGGTCTGGTTACTGTCAGGGCCGACAACGCTGGATCTCTAAGAATCCTCAAGTTCAACAGCACAGACTATACACAATTTAAAACGAGTTCCTATGAGTCCTTCCTATCACACATCGCTTAGCACTAGTTTCCAAACTGTTCTCACAGATGCTCCATCATTTGAGCCTCAAAATAGCCTCTTCAGTCCTGTCAGCAAGAGCAGGCACCCTTGGGTACCCCAATTTAAAGAAGTTAACCCATGGGCACCTGGGTGGCTCAGTCAGTTGGGCGTCCTACTCTTGGTTTCGGCTCAGGTCATGATCTCAGTCATTCATGAGATTGAGCCCTGCATTGGGCTCTCTGCTCAGCAGGGAGCCTGCTTGAGATTCTCTCCTCCCTTTGTCCCTCCCCTGAGATCCCCCCACCTTGAGCATGTGCTCACACTCTAAAATAAATCTTTAAAAAGCTAACCAAGAGCACCTGGGTGGCTCAGTCGGTTGAGCGTCTGCCTTTGGCTCAGGTCATGATCCTGGGATCCTGGGATGGAGCCGTGCATCCAGTTCCTTGCTCAGCGGGGAGTCTGCTTGTCCTTCTCCCTGCCATTCCCCCCTGCTTCTCTTACTGTCAAATAATTTTTAAAAAAAAGCTACTCTAATCAGCTGACCAAGTGACTTGCCTAGACACCCAGCTGGACCAAACGGAAGAATCCTGCAGAAGGGACACAAAACCAGAGTGCAGATAGAGGTTGCAAGCTAGCTGTAGCCGAGGCCGTGGTGGAGACCATGGTAGATTGCACAACACCTATCTTTAAAGCAGGTACCCAAGCATCTAACCTTGCCAACTACCATCATGCAGAAAGGTGAGGTGCTGTCGCTGCCTGGTATTTCAAGAGGCTGGAAATCTGGATCTTTATGTATAATTTGTCCAGTTTCAAAAATGTTGTGCCTGTGCAAGAGCTTACAGACAAGACTACCGGTTAGTTGACTTGGCTCCAATAGCCCAGCCTAGGCAGCTCCCCTGGAAAACCAAGCTCAGCCAGAGTTAATCATAACTCCCTTCCCCCAGAGAGGCTACACTGGCTGAATGACTGCCAACTCTGCCCTCCCTGAGCACATCCCAACAGAAAAGCTTCTTCATCTTGTGACTGCTATCAACCTTTACCTCCACTCTGGCTCGCCACAGCTGTGCCCTCCATCTTCACATCAGTCCCTAGTACCCCACTCCCAAAGCCACCTCCTACCCTTAATTTTGCTTCCGTTAGCTCTGCTCCTGAACTTTCCAAACCCTCCCCCAGCTCCAATTCACCTGGTGCCCTATCCCGAGCCAGCCCAGGTGTCACCTCTCCCTTCTCTTCAGCTCCTTGCCCCTGCACGCTGCTCACCAGTCCTATGCTGCCTCACCCTCGCAGCCACAGGAACCCCATTTCCTTCTGCAACGTTTGCCACCAGGCACGAATGGCCTCTGCACTGCCTAGTTGAAAAATCCCCCACTTTACATTACCGGTTAGCCATTTTGGTGAAAACTGACACTAGCAGTCCTGAATCCCCCACTCCTCCACACTCTCCTGCTAGTACAGCCAGGCTTATGTCCTGGCCCTAGCAAGGGAAACCACAGGGCCATGGGTTCCACAAACCCAATAGCACAGCCTGAGCTTAGCTCCAAGTGAAGCAACTACACCCACCATCAGCAGGTCTCAGCCAGCAGGTCCAGCCCTCACACCCCTGCTCTCTGGTCTGCACGTCCTTCTTCAGTCAAGGCCTCTCATGTGGCTTCTCCAAAACATGCAACCATTCCTTCCACCACCCTCTCATGCCTTCTGCTATCATGATTCTTGCTTCTTCCTGAATCCCGTCTACCCAACCAAGCAGGTCTTTCACTCCTTGACAACTTCCTGAGGTTTCTCTGGTGGTTTTAATCCACTTACATGGTTCCTAATCATATTTATAAGCTTGACTCCCAGATGAACCCATGTATCCTACACCAACTTTGGGGGAAAATGGAATCCAAAACCCTTAAGCCATTAATGCCTCTTCACCCCATTCCCAAATATGCAAGCTCTCCAACTCCTACACTTTCTAACCCTCTCAAAAAGGCACCCCAACCCTCAAAGTAACCCTAAAACAACTTCTCCTCAAATCTCTCAAAACCAGGGCGCCTGGGTGGCTCAGTCGGTTAAGCATCTGCCTTTGGCTCAGGTCATGATCCCAGGGTCCTGGGATCGAGTCCCCGCATCAGGCTCCCTGCTCAGCGGGAAGCCTGCTTCTCCCTCTCCCTCTGCTACTCCCCCTGCTGTTCTCTCTCTCAAATAAATAAACAAAATCTTAAAAAAAAAAAAAAATCTCTCAAAGCCACACAATTGATCAATAACCCACAGCTCAGGTCCACAACCCTGATGCCTGAAAAAACCAAACTCAGAACTGGCATCCAGCATAGAAGAAGTAACACTACATAACCCTCCATGTTTCACCAAAAGCATATAGATCTACCAAGCAATTACACACTACATCCAAATATTCATTATACTAACCTCTTTCAAATTCCCCACTCATAATACACCATTCACTTATCCCATAAGCACAAACCTACAATGCACAGATGATTTTGGCAGATCCTATTTACTTTGTGATAAATGAGTATGTACTCTAGTAATATTCTACTGAGGCAAGTAATTTTTCAGTAATAAGAACGATGTCAGGTTCTAGGAAGACCAAAAGGAATTCAGATTTCAAGTGCGTCTTTCAGATACTGACCAACTAGACTGATGGCAGGTATTAACAATGAGCACACCAGACTGGCACTGTATGCTCTCGTGTTGCTGGTACCCCACACCCACATCTGTGTGCTACTAAAAGGAACGACAATCATACCAAGTTTTCACTAAAAGCGTACTGGAACACGTGAACTTGGGCAGCAATCTAAATCTGCTCTACAGCAGAGTAATTTCATAACGCTCCCAGTAAACTTCAAATACATTTCAAACAACCAGACACGTTAACATTCTTAGTTTATTGATCCTCTCATGAAAAATCTGCACAACCAGATAAAGCCACTGCAGCATCTTTACTCCTTCTGTGAAACAAAGAAAAGGAAAAATTTAGTTAGTGAACCACCTTTAAAACTCTTAAGAATTAAAATTTAAAATCTTCAGCAAACTCCAAAATTAATGACACTCATGCAAAACAAGTATTAGTGACCTAAAATGTTAAGTTTGTGATCATAACACAATGAGTGCATCAAGAAATAAAACTTGCAAACATTCACATTAGAAATGGAATAAAGAATTAAGTATTACTGTTTTAAAAACAAAACCACGTCACTACCGGTATCTAAAAAGCTACGATTCTTCAAAGCATTTGTAAATCAACTTCTAAAACTACTTCACATGCAAAAACAAACACAAAAAACAAAACTATTTCACATGCTCTAGACTTTCGAATTACTGTTATCAGTAAAGCCTAATGATCCACATGAAAAGCTTGAATTATACCTGTTGTCCAATCTCCAGCTCACTGAATCAGTGGCAGGGAAGGGAGAAAGGAGGGAAGAAGGAAAAGAAATATTTCATTAATAGTCCCTTTTCAAATTCCAACATAATCTGCATTTACATGCATGCAATCAAATACCTTAGAAATAACTGTTTTCTTTTTAATTGTATACAGAGCGCTCTTGAGACACACTCATTTTTATTCTTCCCAATTTGGAGAATACCTCATGTGATTAGTATGGTTCTTATGTAAACAAAGTGGCATGATGGTTTCACAATGAGGAGATCATCATGCCAACAGCAATGCCAATCCAGGCTACCACTGTCTACGCATACATGAAGTACACATACCTGACCCTCAGCCCTCCTCCTCTGCTCAGCAACATCATGATGGGCACACAAGCACCATCAAAAGACCCGGGAATCATCCCACACTAGAGTCTAACCTCAAAGAGAGAGTTCTAAATGATCAAGCAAGTCTTTTAAAACCTGTCTCAGCTCAATACTTTAAAAGCTACTGTTCACAGCCACCAAAAGTAGTGCAAATTAGTTTTTTAAAAGGCAGAACTGGGCTGAAATGAAAATGCTTCGTGCTCTTTAAACAAGAGACTATTTATTCCTTAATTTAAAACAACTCTATTGTACCCAAGAGGTAAGAGCAAATACCAATTCCAACATCCAAACAAGAACAGTTAAAAGTAACATTAGTAAGCCTGGCTATTTTGAGCCAAAGAATACTTGTGCTCGTTTACGCATTCATTTCCCAGCCAGTTTTCCAGAGCTATGCTAGTGAAATGCACCAGTGCAACCTGAAGCAGGAATAGTGATGGCTCAGGTCCCCACAGGGAGCCCCTCCACACGTCACCGGTGAACACTAACGAGCACAAACATATGGGGCCCAAAGACCGAATGAAGACAAGAATGGGTTAAACATCCTTGGTTCTAGATCAGTCCACTGACTGAATCTTTTTTGCAACCTCGGCAACTTCTGTTGATAGGTATAAGCCGCCTCACAAACAAGGAGCAGTTCTAAGCAGCAAGTAGTTCCTCTGGCAGTTCATCCATTACTAGAACTCCGTGGCTGGAAAGACAATGTGATTGGAGGCCTGGGCAGGCATACCCAGATCTACTGCCTGGCAGGGAGTCATTGTTAGAGGAAGCACACAGGGGCAGTGACTACCAGTGTTTCAAAACCCTACGAACCCCCAACCCCTCTACTAAGCCCACCTTACATGCTGGTTTAGGCTGCTCAAATGTGCAAAAATGTATTTAACATGGGGTAGTAGACCATTCTGACCAAAAACTTATGAAAAAAGCATATTTATCAGAGGCTTTGGTGTGAATATACAATTACCTTGGAATTTTTTCAATTGTAAGAAAAATGGACATCAGATGAAAAATTAGAGATCAATAAAAAGCAATGTAACGGTAAAAGGCAGCTTTGATTGAACACTTCCTGAACAGAGACTTTGCCAGATTTCCTAGACCAGTTTATTACCAGAGCTGCCAAAGAAATCGACCAGTCCCTGGGGTCCCCAAGGGAAAGACTGCTGATGACAAAATGAGGCCCCTTCCCAAGCCCTGTGTTAACTAAAGCCGTTTCCTGGGTATGTAACTCTGGAACACAGCATTTCCCAAGTACAAGTTAAAAGATGCCTACTCAGTAGAGTACCCACCTTTCTCCACCAGGTCACTTCGCAACATAACATGCATTTTTGAATTTCCAAAATAAACGTGATTAAAAGTTTCTCTCCCTTCCTTATAATACGCCATTTTAAAACAAATATAAGAGATCATACTACATAAAACTCTTGTTGTCCAAAAGCCAACATGCAAAGCATCAAAGCAAACTCAGTGAAGGTGATGCATCCCCACACCGTGCTCACAATCTCAGTACCTGCTAGACACTTCATTTCTGATGAACAAGAAATCCAAGAAAGTAGAGGGAAAAGGCAAAAAAAAAAAAAAAAGTTCACAGAACACTTGATTATTTGTTAATTTAACAACCCAACACCTTAATTCCATTCAACTATTATTTACAGTTAGCTAGCAAAGCTGGTAAAAAGCTGCTTATCATTAAAATCACTTAAGTCTTGGCTAACTGGAGAGGAAAGCAAGTGAGATCCCACCTGCCTCTCCAGCATGCCAGGGAAACACGGGCCACATTGATTCAACTGCTTTTTAAACAACTTATCTGTTTTAAACAAGTAAGGTTACTCTTCCCCTTTAACAGTCCAAACCAATTCGCAGTAAAATGGACACTTTTCCTGACAGGGCTTCCAAGGTGCCCACTAGGATCACTGAACCGATGTGGCCCCTGTGTTGTGCTGATCTGTGAGCTGACAAAGGGTGGGCAAAGCTACTCTAGTGAGGTGTTAAGATACTACATCATGTAGCGTCTCAAAACACGTTACCTTCTGTAATCCAGAAGAAGTGGGAAAAGAAAAAACATTAAAAAAAGGTTATTAAAAAACAAATCCCTCCTTTCTAGAAACTAAAGACCTGCAATGACATTTCTGTATTCTCCTTGATGAACAATACCTTTTTGCCAGCACCAACATTGGCTTTTGCAGTCCCCCTGACTTTCTTCATTCTGTTCTTGCGTTCCTTTCGCTGTTTTCTTGATGTCTTTTTCTTCTCATACAGGCCGTGCTAAAGGAAAAAGGAGTACCTTTTAAGTGACTTGCAAACATCAACTCAGCATTAACTAATCTGGGAGGGACCATAACCAAGTCAGGTAGCTCAAGAAATGCAGCTTCCCAAATCACAATTGTTTCAAGTACATTTAACAATACTTGTTTTTACTGAAACAAGAAAGGTAATCCAATTGAGACACAATATGTACAAATCAGTGGCACAGTACTCAGATGTGCTCTCAACACTCCAACCTACTCATCTTCACTCTGCCCATTTTTGCACTTGCCGTTCCTGCTGCCCAGACTGCTCCCAAATCTTCATAGATCTCAGCTTAAAGGTCACCTCCTCAGCAAAGCCTCTCAGACCACCCAACTAAAGAGCGCAGCATCTGTCTACCACACCACCATGATTTCCCTCACAGGTGTTCTACTGGAAGACTTATCTGATGGCAGTGAAGAAGAGTTAGAGAAAAACACAAGTAGTACTTCAAAATAACAATCTGCAGCTTATGATCTAGAATCTAAGGGAGCTTGCTCAGCTCGTTGCTGTAGTTCACTCTAGTGCTTGTCACTCAGGAAATGATCAAACTCAGACTTTTAGAATTAAGGATCTCAACTGGGTGCCAACGCTTCCAAACCCATCCCCCTATTTCCAGCTCCCATCTCCACAAGTACTACATTACTTGTCCTTCTAGACCCAGCTCAAAGGTCACCTCCTCAAAAGCTGCAGACCCCATTACTGAAGCCCTGTAATCTATCTGTACATTTATCAAAAAACCTTCTCTCTTAACCACTTTAGTTCCTTAAGTCTGAGGGCTGTCCCTCCCCAGTCTGTTTGCTTTTGCTCATTCCACTGCACCCACAACACAATGCTGTTAAAAAACAGTCTTCAGCAGCTGCTGAACAATGAGAACACCTACTCTTGCAAGTCTGTGTTTGGGTTCATTTTTCTTTGCATAATCCAAGGAATCATATATCATGCCAAAGCCGGTTGTCTTGCCACCACCAAAATGGGTTCTGAATCCAAACACAAATATGACATCTGGTGTGGTCTTGTACATTTTGGCTAGTTTTTCCCGAATTTCTGTCTTAGGTACTGTTGCCTTTCCGGGGTGAAGAACATCAATGACCTAAAAAGAAGTAACAGATTTTAGCGCTTATTATTACAAAATGAGTCTTTTGAAGCAACAAATGATGTGCCCTTCCTTACCATCTGTTTCCGCTGAAGTAGTCGGTTAGTCATGAACTTCCTGGTCCGGATAGTTACTGTGTCGTTCTAAAAACACACATAATGCACTAGTTAATGATCCACTCAACCTCTTCTTGAGCCTGCTGAGATTTTTCCAAGATACAGCACTGCCAATGGGTACCCACGAGCCATAAGTGGACAACTCATAAACATGAAGTCACATTTAAGATGCAATTCTGCAGCTGCAGGCGCCACATTTCCAATGTTGAAGAACCACATGAGCTAGTTGCGGGAATGCTTCCATGAAAAGAAAAACCCACACACTCCCAGTGCCTAACTCCTAAGACACGTCTAACACGCTCAGTACTAAGAGAACGCACTCCAAAGCTTTCTGGAATCTTCACTTTGCTGTGGGCATCACTTTGGAGCAGGGTTTCTCAATCTCAACACTACTACTCTGGTTCCACTACTTCTCTGTGGGGACTAACCACTAGAGACCAGTAGCACCCCCAACTCCACAGTTTTGATCAAAAATGCCTCCAGATTTTGCACTGTCCCCTTAGGGGTAATTAAAAAAAAAAAACAAAAAACACCTTCACGTAAGAACCCTTTCTGTGCAGTAAAACTACTTCGACCTGCACAAACCTTTAGTCTCAACTACGTTTGTAACACCCTCACAAGTTTGACACAAACGCTGCCACCATCTGCATGTAAACTACCAGTCTTGCACGGCCAATTTTACACCCCACAAGAAAACCTACTCCCTTCTAAATGGCCCAACAGCTTTTACACAAGTAACCACCTAGGAACGTGGCCATTCAGCATGCTTACACTAAAAAGAAATTTTACCCAAAAAGGAGACAAAGCAGAGGCCTTCGTGGCAACGACTGGTTGCTAGATTTCAAAACCACACCAAAGTAAGTTGACTTGAACAGTCCTCAACTCTTGAAAAGACTGGAGGGAAGAGGGGACTTGCAGATAAGGTCGAATTAGAAATAGGTGCTGAACCTTTACTGACAGAGCTCACTCCTCATGTACTTAAGGCAAGCTTTCTGGAGGCCTCCCTTTCCAGGGCCTCGGTTTCCGCACAGTACAAGAGGTTCCGTACGGCTCACAATGTTTTAGCTTACACATGCGAACAGCTTCACTCGCCACGACTCGCCCGGGCGCCGCCGGCACCCACTTCACCTCTTGGGTTGCCATCACCTCCAAGCCGCCTATCCCAAACTGAGAACGCAGGTGAGATGGGTCTCACCCCACCCCGCCCAATCCCCTAGACTCCACGAAGCCGACAAACGCAGCAGGCGCCCTCGCAGTCCCCAGGCCCTGGACTCTGAAATCCGACGTGCCCGGTTCCGCGGCACAGCCCGGACTCCCCACCGACGGCTCCGGGACTCTCGGCAACCAGCCTCCGTCAGACACAGCCAAAAAAAGAGCGACGGGACTTCGGGCCGCCGTAGCACAAACGGCAGGACCCGGGGACGAAGGATGGCTCAGATACGCGCCGGATAACTGCACGGGTCTGGGGAAACTCACCATGATGGCGGCCTAGCTTCAAGCAGCCGGGGAGGAAAAGAGAACCACTATCCGCCGGCCAATCATATCAATGCGCACGGAAGGCCCCCGAGCGCCGCCGGCGAGGGGGCGTGGCCAGGCCCGCGAGGGCGGCCGCACCAATGCCGGATTGAAAGTGCCTAAGGCCCGCCCCCAGGGAGCTCCCGCGGACTAGATTTACGCGAGCACATGTTCAATTTCGGTTCAATTCGTTGTCCTGAATATCCCGTACTTAGAATTAGGGTAAACCGAATTACAGTTTAGGAGATCCTGTCGACCAGCTTCCTCATTTTATAACGAGGGAAACTGCAGAAACCCGACTCAAAACCTTTATTTCAACTACACAAAACTGACCGTTTTAGGTTATTGCTAAGTATTGCTTTTTTTTTTTTTTTTTGAGTCTCTGGTAATTTTCTGTATGAAAAATAAAAAATTCTTCCTTTGTGTTTTTCTGAAAATCTTAGTCCTTACCCTCACAAATGAGCTTTTATCAGTGTTTGATCCATAAATTTGTTAGTTGTTTAAAGTGACGGGGTCGGGCGCCTGGGTGGCTCAGTCGGTTGAGCGTCTGCCTTTGGCTCAGGTCATGATCC